CTTTATACCAAATGAGGAGTCTTTAAAATTCTTATGGGAAATACATACTATGAAAAAACTAGGCATGGATTTCAAACTTTTTTTGCACTAAAATAAACTCGTACTTTAGTTGCATTTGTCCATGGACTTTTTCAAGGCCCCTCATATTGGGCCCTCCCTTTTACCTTGTCCTTTGTTCCCTGTTTTCCCTTCTCAGAATTTCCAACCTATTTCTACTCAAAGTGGAATTCCCCAGGCCTAAATGGGGGGAGAGGTCAGAGCTGACGGAGATTGCAGAGGCACTGATCTGTACCCATTCTAGGGGGCGCTGGCCAGACTTCAGCCACAGGTGGAGGCAGGGAGACCAGAAGCAAGGCAACTGTGCTGCCTCCTGTAGCGAGAGCGCCATCTGCCTTGGCCAGGCAGGCATGCAGGGACATTACATCCTTGGGATAGCCAGCCAGCCCCTGGGCACCCCAGTCACGACTCTTGTGTATTAAGCTGCTGCCTCTCTATCCCCTCCGTGCTGCTGCGGCTCCATAGGTGGATGACTGGGTTGCAAAGGTACGGGGTGGGGAGGCAGAGGGCAGTCCAAAGGAGCCAGGACAGGAAATGTTTGGTGTGTACAGAGCAAGAGCACCTCGCCAGCCCACATACCTGTGCCTTGAGGACGGACTGGCTCCTAACTGGCTCTTCTAATGCGTTCACAGAAGGAAACCCTGACCGATACTTTATGTCCTTTCTTTCAAGTCCTCCTGAAAATTCTATTTGAACTCATTTGCTTTAGCCTAGAACTTTCTCTCTCTTTTTAAGGAATTATCTATTTATTATTATTTTTAATTTTTAAAAATGTGCTATAGGGCATGTGCACTCACCATAGAGAGACAAAGAGATAGAGTGGAGGGGGGAGTGAGGAAGCAAGCGGGCAGGTCCAGGACTCAAACCACAGGTGGCTATAGGAGTCCAGCACCCTAACCACCATGCCACCTGCTGGTCCCAAGCCTAGACCTTTCACTGCTTTTCCTCTCCCAGAGTAGTGCCCAGCATATACAGTAATAATCAGTACATCTTTTTTTTTTTTTTTTTGGAAGGAGTAACTTTTTCTTTTGGGGGTTG